ACCAGGGCAACTTATAACAGAAAACATTGAATTTGGGGGTTCATGGTTCCACAAGGGTAGAGTCCATGATCACCATGGCAGGGAGCATGGCAGCAGGCACACAGCCATGGTGCTGCAGCAGTATCCAAGAGCTCACATCTGATCCTCTGGTAGGAGACAGAGAGCAGGAGCTAACAAAATGGCTTGGGATTTACAACCTCAAAGCCCACCCCCAGTGACGCACCTCCTCCAACAAGGCCACGCCTCCTAATTCTTCCCAAACAGTTCCAACAACAGACCAAGCTTTCAAGTTCACCTGCCTATGGGGCCCATTTTTATTCAAATCTCCCTGCACACTCTCATTATTTTGTTTGTTTTTGAGACAGTGTGTCACCCTGGAACTCAGGCTGCCCTTAAACTCTCAGCATCTTCTCCCTCCAGCATCTTGAGAACTATGGCTTTATTTGTACACTTATTCTGTATTTGGGCATGTGTGTGCCATGTTAGAGGTGTAAAGGTCAGAGGGCAACCATGTGGGGATTGAACTCGGGCTTCTACCTCCTGCGCCACCTTACTGGTCCTGATCTATTTGCTACTATTACTATTTTTACCTGATTATGAGGCAAGGAGTCATGCACCCAAGGCTGAAAGTGGACTCCTGATCTGTATTACAGACTCGGACAACCACACCCAGCCCCACCTCCCACCGAGGCCTCTATCTGGGGTTCTCCTCGCTGTGTGTGTCCCATCTTGCTTCAGCACGATCCATGGTGACAGCTGAAACTGTCAGTACAATGACATCGAATGGATGGATGGATGCAGACTGTTCTTCCTCTTTTCTACCCCCACAAGCTGCTTGTCGGGATGGGCTCCTCCCTCCATCCTGCCTAATCTACCTGTATGATTGACAACAGTGTTTCCAGCTCTGGTCATTGGTGATTTCAAATTCGCCAAGGTGGCCTCACTTCATTACCACAGTAAGAGACCAGATGGTGACTTCGAAGCACAGCCCCGTAAGGATCTTCAGCCTAGTGGCTGACCTTAGAACACCAGCCAGGGAGGGCTTTTGTGTGTATCATGGCTACTTGGAAAGATGGAGGAAGAAGCCTGAACTCCAACATTTTTTTTCTTTCAGATTTTATTTTGTTTGCTTGGTTGGTTTTTGATTTTTTTGAGACAGGGCTTCTCTGTGTAACAGCCCTGGCTGTCCTGGAATTCAGAGCTTCACCTGTGTCTGCCTTCCATGTGCTGGGATTAAAGGCGTGCGCCACCACTGCCCTGCTATCCTGGAACTCATTCGCTACTTTTAAGGGAGAAGACAGAATTTTCTTTGCAATTTCTTTCTTTTTTTTTATTTTTTGGTTTTTCAAAACAGGGTTTCTCTGTAGCTTTGGAGCCTGTCCTGGAACTAGCTCTTGTAGACCAGGTTGGTCTCGAACTCACAGAGATCCACCTGTCTCTGCCTCCTGAGTGCTGGGATTAAAGGTGTGTGCCACCACCACCCAGCAAGACAGAATTTGATAGAGAAGGCAGACACAGGCAAGCCTTCATGCAAAGTGAGCTGAGGGAAGGATGAAATGTCAGGAAGAAGCACCGATGCAAAGGCTTGGACAAAGAAGAAAGCAGGATGGCTGGAAAACAGAAGACCCGGGGAGCTAAAGGACTGGCAAAGCGGAGGCTGGCGCCTGGGCAGATGGATGTGGGCTTTGCATGGAGGCATGCGCGCATAAGAAAGAGAGTGCTAAGGAGTGGACCCACATGTGCCTGGTGATGCCAGGTAGGAACAGAAGCCCAAGGCCAGGCAGCAGCTGGAACCACCCATGGATCCCAGGTGCCTGTGAGGTGCCTCAACAGCAGCCAGAGACCCCCTTGGGAGCACAGGGTGGGGGTGGGGCGAAGACTGCAGGCTGCATTCCCGAAGGGTGTTGGGTGCTCTGGAGAGGAATGGATCCTATCTGCCTGCTCTGAGCCTTTTCATATCCAACCAAGATGTTGTCCCATTTTACAGATAAGAAAATGAGGCCCAGGATCTGGAGAGATGGTTCAGAGGTTAAGAGCACTGACTGTTCTTCCAGAGGTCCTGAGTTCAATTCCCAGCAACCACATGGTGGCTCGCAGCCATCTATAATGAGACTTGGCGCCCCCTTCTGGCTTGCAGGCACACGTGGAAGGAATGCTGTACACATACTAAAATACATAAATAAATATTTTTAAAAAGAAAAAGAAAAAGAAAATGAGGCCCAGAGCTGTGGAATTGCTTGAGTTGGCATTAGCTGAGCTTGTGACCTCCTAGCTCAGTTGGAACAGAATGTTCTAAACAAGACCCAAATTCGGGCCTGGCAGCCAGTACAGTGCCCGGATGGTCAGTCTTCTGACTGCTAGAGTCCCAAGAGTGCCCCCCAACACCCCGGCTTTGGGGCAGATGCTTAATTTTAGGGATGCTTTCGTTTTAGAGAGAGTGGCAGAAGCTTCCAGAAGGGAATCCTGGTGTTCTGCTTAGGCCAGAGTCAGAAATCTTCAACTCCAGCCCCAGGCCAGCCTCTCCAGCGGTGCCACCATCCAGCATTGACGTCATCATGAGTGAGCACACTTACTGGGCTGGTGGCTATCAGTGCTATCTCTAGAAGAGGATCAGAGATAGCACAGAGGGTTGGGGACGCGACTCAGTGGGGAAGAGTCATAAGCTGTGTAAACAGGAATCTGAACTCCCAGCATCTATGTCAAAAAGCAGGAAGGGCTGGGTTACCCCAGTACTTAAGGCAGGGGCGTGCAGACAGAGACAGGCAGGTTCCAGCTGTTTGGCCAGCCAGCTAGCCACAATGTCAAGCTTCCTGTTCATGGAGAGACCCCATCTCATGGCAATAAGAGGGAAAACAGCAAAGGGAGACAGATACCCAGCCTCCTTCTCTGGCTTCTCCCTGCTCACAGGCACCACACAGATACACTATACACACACACATATGCTACACACACACGCTACACACACACACTACACACACACATATGCTATACACACACACGCTACACACACACATATGCTATACACACACACACTACACACACACGCTACACACACACGCTACACACACACGCTACACACACACGCTACACACACACGCTACACACACACGCTACACACACACACTACACACACACACTACACACACTACACACACACGCTACACACACACACTACACACACACTACACACACACTACACACACACGCTACACACACACACTACACACACACACTACACACACTACACACACACGCTACACACACACACTACACACACACTACACACACACACTACACACACACACTACACACACTACACACACACACTATACACACGCTACACACACACACTACACACATATGCTATACACACATGCTACACACACATATGCTACACACACATGCTACACACACTACACACACATATATGCTACACACACATGCTACATACACACACTACACACACATGCTACACACACATGCTACACACACATGACACAGATACATTACACATACACTAAACACACATAAGCCACAAACACCACACGCACATATACTAAACACCAAACACAGTTACACCTACCCACACACCACACAGATATACTACACACATAGCAAACACACACACCACACACAGATATACTGTACACACACCAAACACACACACATCACAAGCACACACATATATAAAAATAAAATTGACATGATAAAAATATCTCAGGGGCTGGAGAGATGGCTCATTGGTTAAAAGCACTGGCTGGCTTTGCAGAGGATGTGGGTTCAAAAACTCCCAACTCACAAACATGGAAGCTCACAACTGTCTATAACTCAGTTTGGACCAGGAATCTAACACCGTCACACCAATGTGCTTAAAATTAAAAATAAATTATTAAAAAAATATCCCAGATGAAATTCCTGTTTGTTGTGATGGTTTTGATTTTTGGAGATGGGGTCTCATGTGCTTCAGGCTGGCCTTGCACTCACTTGCTTGCATCCCCACTGTAATTGATGATGACCTTGAACTCGTGGTCCCCTAATTCTACCTACCAAATGCTGAGGTCACAGGTCTGCATCACAGTGCCTGGCTTGAAAATTTAAAAAAAAAAAAAAAGGCCTTATGTAGTCAAAGCTAGCCTTACTGTGGCTGGCCTTGAACTCCTGATCCTGATTGCTAGGTACACACCACCACACCCGACTCCCAGTTCCTAGTTTGGAAATATCTTTAACAAAATGTGTGTTGAGCAGCGTGGTGGCAGTGCACACCTTTAATCCCAACACTCGGGAGGCAGAGATAGGCGAATCTCTGTGAGTGCGAGGCCAGCCTGGTCTACAGAGCTAGTTCCAGGACAGCCAGGACTGTGAAAGAGAAATCCTGTCTCAGAAAAAAAAAAAAGTTTGTCTTTATTTTTAATGATGTGCCAGGTGTGTGTCCAGGTCGATACACAGGAATGCAGGTGCCTACAGAGACCGGAAGTGTGTGATCGTCCTGGAGCGGAGGTTACACACAACTGTGAGCTGTTCAACATGAGTGTTGGACATCAGCTAGGGTCCTTTTCAAGAGCAGTGTATGGGGGGTGTGGTCAGGCGCATGCCTTAGCACTCAGAAGGCTGAGGCAGGTTGATCTCTGTGAGTTCAAGGCCAGCCTGGTCTACAGAGAGAGCTGCAGGACAGGACAGCCAGGGCTACACAGAGAAACCCTGTCTCCAAAAACAAAAAACAAAACAAAACAAAACAAAAAAGTGAAGGTCAGAGGAAGCTTGCAGCAATCAGTTCTCCCTTCTGTTATGTGGGTTCTGGGGGATCGAACTCAGGCTGTCAAGATTGCGTAGCAGGCCCCTTTCCCCACTGTGCCATCTTGCTGCCCTCCCACAGGAAACATCTTAAGGGGAGACAACAGTACTAAACAGTAATCCCTCCCTCACCCCATCCAATTCACATACAGCTCAAGACATAGGCCGGGAGTCATGGGGTGGAGACAGGTCCTTTATTTGGGGGTAGACTCTAGACTGGGTTGTAGAAGCATCAGACCTCTGGTACTAAGCTGGTGGTCCAGCTGGTTGGATGAGACATGAGGAGGTTGAAGGCTGCTCTCAGCTACAGGCGCCAGGCCCAGGACAGGAAAGAATGTCAGCCATCAACGCTAAGCCTGCCTGGTGCTCTGTGCCTACTGGGACTGGAAACTGGTGTCCAAAGTCCCAGCCCCGATGCCCAGAAGGCAATCAAGAGGGTGGCCTCTGAGTCCTCTGTCCCTTCAAGGTGGAGCCAGGACCAGTGGGGTCACATTCTGTGGAGGCCAGACAGAGAGAACACTCAGAGGTGAGGTTCCCCCACCTCACTTTCCAGAGAGCAGGAGCAGCTAAAAGAATAAACACTTGAATGCAAGCTTCACAACTGGCCCCAGAACACACAAGGCAGGCACACCAAAGCCTGGTCCAGCCCCTTCCTCTGAGAAAAGCACACTGTACACACGGCCCTGGCTGCTGCTCATGGCTGCAGTGGGCTGAGGACTGGCCTGGGACTGTCACCTACTGGTTCTCTTCCCTGCTGGCCGCATGAGGAGAGAAAAACACAAAGGCTTAGCCGGACCCTCAGACACTGAACTCTGAGGGCTGAGTCCAGGTCCCACCCAACATCTGGCAGGGATAAGCTCAGCTAGAGAAAGAAGGGGTATTGCTCCCATGGGGGATGTTAGGAGGGTAGTCATTGTCTTTGTGACCTCCTCATAGAGAATGGTTGCCAGGTTGCCAAGCAGGAGGGAATAGGGAAGGCAGCTGGATTCCACTGCTGGCCAGGTACTCACAGTGTTTGGTAAGTGCTGTCCTTGACCTTGAGGAAGCGCAGCACAAAGAAGGCTGTGGCTTGCAGGCTCAGCACCAGTACAATGCCCCCGGTGAAGCTGGCTGCGTCAAAACCTGGTTTGTGGGCTTCAGGGACTAGGGGACTCTCTGTAGGGTGAGGCAGAGTGGAGGTTACAACAGGCCTCCATGGACCCAGATCCCACCTCTGACACCCCAAGGCGTCCTTCAGTCCTCAAGATCTCAAGATGGGCTCCATAGTCCAGTTGAGGGCTGTAGTTACAGTTCTGGCGTGGAGACCTTGCCACAGAGAGTGAGCGAGACAGAGATAGAGACAGACAGAGAGAGGAGGTCAGTCCATTTCAAGCTCTTTAAATCCTGCAAGCTGGTGAAAGGGATAGCTGAGGCTGGGCAGGGTGACCCTTGCCCAGCCCTGTTCCTGACTTGCTCCATAGCTTTGTCACGCACCCTCTCTGGGCCTCCTGGTCACATGGAACCAACAGTAACCAAGTGCCACTGCACCCTTCCTGTCCCTCACTAGCCCAGTAGAGGAAGGATGACCTGGAACTCAGCCACCAGACCTCCTTACAGCTAAGGCCACGGCTTGGGGCAGACAAAATGCACAGCCCCTCAGGACCTCTAGCCTAGAGTTCTCACCAAGAGAGGAAGAACAGAGGAGAGGTGGCGGCCCAGGGACAGCAGCCTACAGAGGGGACAATGAAGACTAAACCATGAGCCAGACCTGGCTTGTCACCTCCCAGGCTCCCCTGATCCTTCCCTCTGCCCTTCCCCCTTTGCAGGGACGGTCTTAGGACTGAGTCACTAGTCCAGGCTTTGGTAGCTACCAGCTGGACCACGTTACCCATCGATTCTGACCAGAGATTTGATTTCAGGCCCTGGGTCAGGTGCCCAGGGCAGGAAAACACTGGTAAGTGGAGGATCACTCTGGGACAATGGACAAGGGGCCCAACTGGGAACGGAGTCTCCATCCCAGAGGACGCGGACAATGCAGAATCCAAGGACACAGAAGTGGGAGGGGTGGTCCCGCTGCGGCTGAAGCCGAGAGCTGCAGAGAAGGATGCTGGGAGAGAGGACAGAAAGGGAAGAACTGAGCTGCGCACAGCAGATCTGGGGCTCGAGCCGAGGGAGCCGAACCATCAATAATTTATCCTTTAAGATCAGTTTCCGGCTTTAATTAACCAAGAGCCTCTTCAGCCATCCTGGTTAAGTGTAGTGACCTCTAGGCCTTGGAAGGGGAGAGGAGACCTGGAGGTGGAGGGGTTCCTCCCCTGCTCTTCTGAGAACCCGCTTTGGGGCCCTCAGCCTGCAGCAGATGGTCTCCAAGGGCATCTCTTAGCACCTGCAGCCACACCTCCTCAGCTCCGAGCAGGGATCTGGAGGGGTCACCCTGAGTTCCCAGAACCCGTGACAGAAGCTGCCATTTCCTGACTGCTTTTGATCCTGCTGCATCAGACAGTGAAGTGGGCCTTACACAGCCTCAAATCCTCACAGCTCTGTGAGGCAAGTGTCTGTCCAACCCATCTCACAGGCCTGGAGAACTCAGAGGACTGAGGTCATAGAGCATGCCAGTGCCTGGGCCCCCACGCTGCCTGTCCCGCTGCCACCATCCTAGCCCCCATTCCCCACGGAGGAGCCTACCTGTTGTGCTTGTCTTTGGTTCATGGGTGGGATGGTGGTGGGATGCTGAGAAGACAGGGAGTCCAGGATGAAACAGCTCTGCCTCCGATCAGGAAGCCTAGTCCCACCTCCCACTCAGACTGCACCCCTGCCCCATTCATGCCTGCTCATCCAGTCTCCTCCCCCAGCTGGGCCCCATCTCTGTTGCCACTTGTTTGAGGAAGACCCCTCCATCCCAAACACCTCGCCGTGCCTGACTTCACACAATGCTGACTAGCCCAACTCCTGGGTACACGTGGACCAATTTATAGGCTAGGACACCAGCCAGGGCAAGGTACAACTGATGTTCGTGGGTGCAGTCTGCTCCCTGAAATAAATTAGTGCCTCTTGGAAGTAGTCCGTGGCTGGGGACACCTGACTCCCCTTCCTTCCTGTGGGCTTAGAGTGAACACCCTTACCTGGGCATGACTCTGACCGGTTATAGACAGGGCAACCCTCCTTGTCCACTTCAGCTTGGACCACACAATGTCCTGGTGGGAGAAGGAACAGGGAAGAGGTTTGGGGAGAAAGCTGGGAGGTTAGGGTGCCATATAGACAGGAGGGTAGGCTCGGGAAGGGCCCAGCGACAAACCTGGCTCCTCTGGCCCGCATTGCTGCCAGACGCAATCAGAGAGGTTGTGGGCTCTGTCCACACAGCGTTCACACTGGGCCAGGTGTTTGCAGCCTTCATGGACAGTCGACCAGACGCTCAGGCGGATCAAGGCAATCCGCCCAAAGCCTGGAGCTCCTTTACCTGGGAGTGGGGGTGGAAATGAGAGGAAAACAGCAGAGTGTTAGGTGCCACGTTGCCCCACCTCCCCCACTACTACTCGCCCCTCTGCAGAGGCCTGGAGCTTCCCTTGCCCCCCCTCCGAACTTCTTCCTTTATGTACTCCTCAAATCCCCAGGGGCATTTGGAATCACCTCCTCCACACATCCACCCTCTCCTAGTCCCCCACACCTAGAGCCTGTGGTCTCAACACACTCCTGGAGCCCCAAAGACGTCGAAAAAGGTTCCCTCCCCAAAGCCTAGAAGTGCATGAACAGGAAACTAAAATGTACTTGTTCCACCTGCTCCTGCCTTGCCCCCTCATCAGGCCCTGCCCAGGGTTACCAGCTATAATCAGCTGGGCACACAGGAGGAGGCAACAACAACCGCCGCAGAGCGCAGCACGCAAGGCGCGGGGTCCGGGTGAGGCCATGGGCGCCGGGGGCCGGGATTGGGGGTCGGCGGACCGGGCAGCTGCTGTGGCGCGTCCTTTCTTGACTCCACTCGCCGAGCTTGCCAGAGTGAGACCTGGGCAACGGGGGCGTGGTCAGACAGGGGCGTGGTTAGTGGGTGTGGCCTGTAGGCGTGGCTGTGTTCGACGATTTAGGGCGGGACTGAACAAAAGGGGTTGGGATCTGCCGGGTCATTAAGGGTAGCCGGACACTGGTGGTACACAAGTTTAATCCCAGCACTCGGAGGCTGAGGCACGAGAATCTGTGAGTTCGAGGCCAGCCTGGTCTCCAGAGTAAGTTCCAGGACACCCAGGGCTACACAGAGAGACCCTCTCTTGAAAAACAAAACAACAACAAAAGAAAGGAGTACAGAGGCTCAATGTTGTGGCGCACTCCTTAATCCCAGCACTTGAGAGGCAGAGACAGGTGGATCACTGTGAGAACCAGGCCAGGCTTGTCAACATAGCAACTGTGTTTTGGTGAGTTTTTCGGGAATCACAATGTAGCCCTGGCTGTTCCAGAACTCACTATTGTAGACCAGTGCTGGGATTAAAGGCATATGCCGTTGCCTAGAGACGGTCTTTAACCCTGCTTGGCAGGTGAGGCTCAGAATAGGTGAGTGACCAGTCTGAACCCACAGTTGTAAAATCTGGACTTGATTCGGGCCAGACAACACAGCACGTGCACGCTGGTCTTTTGACAAATCACCCAGGACTCAGCTACCCCACACCTTTAGCTGCCTATTCCCATGGACCGTGGTGTGTTCCGCCTCAACCTCATCACACTTCTGGGTATTGGTGATGCCATCACTAGGTCACTGGGCCTTTTGGGATCTTCCTGGTGGCTTTCTCCTGACCTGGAACACACTCTTGGGGAGTACCTCTTCCTCCCCCGACTCCTCCTCAATCAGTTGTGGCTGTCTTAGCCCAGAGCCTGGATCTGTCCTCTCCTGGGATCATCTTCCTTGTTCTGCTGTCAGGTCCCACTTAAAAGCCAGCAAGTAGGGCTAGGAATATGGCTCGTTTTGTAGAATGCTTAACTAGTATGCATGAAGCCCTGGGCTGGACCCCAGCACTGCCTAAACCAGATTTGTAGTCCATAAGTGTAACCCCAGCACTTGGGTGGTGGAAACAGAAAGATCAGAAGTTCAAAACCACCCTTTGCTCCAGAGGGAGTTAGAGGCGCCAGTCTAAATAAAGCCCCCTGCCTTAAAAAGCACAGGGTACCCTGCATAGTGGCACTTGCCTTTAATCCCAGCACTCTAGAGGCAGAAGGAGTCAGATCTCTCTGAGTTTGAGGACAGCCTGATCTGCATAGAAAGTTCCAGGACAGTCAGGGTGACACAGAGAGAGACCCTATGTCAAAACTACACACACACACACACACACACACACACACACACACACACACGGGGGGGGGGGGCTGGAGAGATGGCTTAGTAACTAAGAGCACTGACTGTTCTTCCAGAGAATCTGGCTTTGATTCCCAGCTCCAAAATGGTGGCCCACGACCATCTGTAACTCCAGTTCCAGGGAATCCAGCGCCACCTTCTGGCCTCTACAGGCATCAGGCATGAAAGTGGTGCATATTCAGGCAAGATATCCACCATATATACCTTAAAAAAAAAAAAGCAGGGGCTGGAGAGATGGCTCAATGGTTAAGAGCACTAGCTGCTCTTCCAAGGGACCTGGGTTCAATCCCCAGCACCCATGTGGCAGCTTATAACTGTCTATAACTCCAGTTTCAGAGAATCCAATATCTTCTGGCTTCCAAAGACACTGCACACATGTGGTACACAGACATGCATGCAGACAAAACATTCATACAAAGAAAAAGGAAATAAATAATTGGATTATTTGGGCACACCTATAATACTAGTACTTTGGAGGCTGAGGCAGGCAGGCTGAAAGTTTGAGGTCAGCCTGGGCCAAATAGGAAATTCAAGGCCAGTCTGGGCTGTGTGGTCAAACTTGTTTTTTTTTTTTTTAAAAAAAAAAAGCCGGGCGGTGGTGGCACACGCCTTTAATCCCAGCACTCGGGAGGCAGAGGCAGAATTCTGTGAGTTCGAGAGCAGCCTGGTCTACAAGAGCTAGTTCCAGGACAGGCTCCAAAACCACAGAGAAACCCTGTCTCGAAAAACCAAAAAAAAAAAAAAAAAAAAAAAGAAAAACCAAAAAAAATAAATAAAAAAAAATAAGCAAAGAAGTACATGTCTGTGACCCTGTCACTTGGGAAGCTGGGGTAGGAGAGTTGTGGGTTTTAGGCCAATTTGGGCTATGTCACAAGACCCCATCAAAGGGGGGGGGGTGCCGGAGATGTAGCTCAACAATAAAACACTTACTTAAAATTGCAGGGCCCTGAGTTTGAACCCCCCAACAACAATAACCGACAAATCTCTAATCTCCACCTCCACACACGTCTGGGCTCTTCAGCTCTGACGTACCTATACCTGAAAAACAGTTTGAATGACGAGTGACCCCCTTTTTAATCAAAAAAATAGGGGCTGGAGAGATGGCTCAGTGGTTAAAAGCATTGATTGCTCTTCCAGAGGACCTGAGTTCAATTCCAACCACCCGCATGCCAGCTCACAACTGTCTTTAATTCCCATTCCAGAGAACTGGCACCCTCACACAAACATCAATGCATAAAAAATAAATCTCTAAAAATTTTTTTTTAAATAAAACTAATTTTGTTTTAGGGGTACAAGTGTTAAATCTGCATTTATGTCTGTGTACTATGTGTGTGCCTAGTGCCCTCAGAATCCAGAAGAGGATATTGGATCCTCTGGAACTAGAGCTATAAAAGGTTAGCCAGGCCGGGTGGTGGTGGTGCAGGCCTTTAGTTCCAACACTCAGGAGGCAGAGGCAGACAGATCTCTGTGAATTCAAGGCCAGCATGGTCTACCGAATGAGTTCTAGGACAGCCAGAGCTACAAAGAGAAACTCTGTCTTGAAGAACAAAAAAGAAAAAGAAAAGAAAGGAAGGAAGGAAAGAAAGGAAAAGAAAAATAGCTAGGTATAATAGTGCACGCCTTTAATCCCAGCACTTGGGAGTTAGAGGCAGGCAGATCTCTGTGAGTTCGAGACCAGCCTGATCTATTTAATGAGTTCCAAGATAGTCAGAGCTACATAAAGAGATTGTCTCAAAATAAAACAACAAAAGATGTAAAATATATTCTAATCAGAGTGGCTCAGCTAATGTCCACCACTGCCTCATGGCATGGCTCTGTCATGTTCAGTTGGCAGCTTCTCAGAGGAAGTTACAACTCGGCTGGCCTCCTGGGAGGGGGTCACTCTTTCCTGTGCACCTCCGTCTGAGTGTCATTAAGCCTGTCTCCTGTCCTCCACACAGGAGAGCCCTATTGTCTCTGCTCGTCTTGCTGCCTCCAATCACCCAGATTGGATCTCACTGTTGTTTCTACCACCACCAGTTAAAATCCTCAGACCCCAGCTCCCCATGTGGCCTGGGCCCTGACCCTTCAGTCCCTGTCCCCCCCGAGCTGGCCCTCACACAGATGTCAGCATCTCTTTCAGTTAGCAACTTGTTGACGTAACTTGTCCTCCACATGGAACTCTTGAACTCCTGACTCTGGGTGCATGTTGCTTGTCTCAGGCTTTCCCCATCATGTCTCCTGTCTTCGATAGCAAAGCATTCGTCTTGCTTTTTATTCATTCATTCATTCATTCATTGGTTTTCTGAGGCAGGGTTTCTCTGTGTAACAGCCCTGGCTGTCTTGGAACTAGCTCTGTAGACCAGGCTGGCCTCGAACTCATAGAGATCCGCCTGCCTCTGCCTCCCGAGTGCTGGGATTAAAGTGTGCGCCACCCTGGTCCAGTATTCTTCTTTCCTTTATCCTGGCTCTCTACCCTTGGCTCCATCTAGCTAAGTAACCCACTTCTTTGGTTTTGTTTTTTTTGTTTTTTGTTTTGGTTTTTCGAGACAGGGTTTCTCTATGGTTTTGGAGCCTGTCCTGGAACTAGCTCTTGTAGACCAGGCTGGTCTCGAACTCACAGAGTTCTGCCTCTGCCTCCCAAGTGCTGGGATTAAAGGCGTGCGCCACCACCGCCTGGCTAGTAACCCACTTCTTAAAAGCCACCACTGAGGAGGAGCCTTGAAAAAGAAACACCCCAGGTCCTATTGCCCCCTCAAGCCCACCAGCACCTCCCAGCTCATGGCTCTCCATCACCCCCGGGAGTGTCTCCTGATGCTTTCAGGGTTCAGCCCTTGGCTCCTCTGTTCATCCAGCAGCCTCTCTGGTCCTCACGCTCTTCCCCATTGCTGGGTCCTGTCCTGGAAAGTCAGACTCATCTGTTCCCTCTTTAAGTGACTCATTTCCTGCTGGAAAGACCTCTCCTAATCACGCTACGTGCCGGCACGTGCTTTCCTCTGGCGCGTGTCCCCACTGCATAATTAACTGCCCGTTTGTTTCCTGGGCTCCATGCTCCAGGATGGCAGGAGTCACGGCTCTCTTCTTCGCGGGCGAACCCCCTGCACACAGGATGAAGTAGGGCTCATTAGCCCTGCTGTCCCATTGTCTGTGTGTGTGTGTGTGTGTGTGTGTGCCGGGCTCACTGCTCTAGGAGACCCCAAGGACTCCCCATACACTTGATGTTTTATTCAGCATCTCTTTGTACATTGTCTGTTTTTCTCTATCAAGATAGTAATTCCTAGCAGGGCGGTGGTGGTGCACGTCTTTAATCCTAGCACTCAGGAGGCAAAGGCAGGTGGATCTCTGTAAGTTCAAGGCCAGCCTGGTCTATAAGAGCTAGTTCCAAGACAGGCTCCAAAACTACAGAGATGGGGGAGGGGGAGGGAAATGGGAGGCGGTGGCGGGGAAGAGACAGAAATCTTTAATAAATAAAAAAAAAAAAGAGGGGGCTGGAGAAATGGCTCAGTGGTTAAGAACATTGCCTGCTCTTCCAAAGGTCCTGAGTTCAATTCCCAGCAACCACATGGTGGCTCACAACCATCTGTAATAGGGTCTGGTGCCCTCTTCTGGTGCCTGCAGGAATACATGTAGATAAAATACTGTATACATAATAAATAAATATTTAAAGAAAAAAAAGAAATAAGTAA